AAGCCAGAAGTGGTGCTGTGGCTCAAGTGGTAGAGCGCTAGCCTTGAGCTGAAGAGCTGAGGGACAGTGCCCAGGCCCAGAGTTCAGGCCCCACTACCAGACCCCCAAAAAAATATTATTCTTAAAGCGATGGATGGAGAGGTTACAGTTACATACATCAGGTAAAGAGTACATTTCTTTGTGGATGGTGACACTCCTTCCCTTGTTCCCAGTTTTCCTCCCCTGTCTCTATCCATAAGTTGTATAGTCCATTTTCAACATAGTGGTACTGGAATTCAAACTCAGGACATCATGATTGCTGGGCAAGCACTTTACTACATGAGACATGTCTTGCCTTCAGCTCTGTCTTTCCCAACCCTTCTTTTTTTCTTTTTTTGCCAGTCCTTGGGCTTGAACTCAGCCTGGGCCCTGCTCTTGAGCTTTTTTTTTTTTTTTTTTGCTGTCACTCTACCACTTAAGCCACAATGCCAGCTTTTTCTGAGCAGTTTATTGGAGATAAGAGTCTCAGGCACTTTCCTGCCCAGGCTGGCTTTGAACTGGGATCCTCCAATCTCAGCATCCTGAGTAGTCAGGATGACAGGCATGAGTCACTGGCACCCGGCTGAGTACATTTCTTTTTGTTCAGTGTCACCCCTTCCCTCGCTCTCTCCCAGTTTTTCCCTCCCATCTCCATCCACAAGTTGTATAGTTCATTTCCCACACAATTCACCTTTGTCCCTCCATTTCTATGCTCCTCATACACTCCCAAAGACAGATAAATGAACAAGACAAAAGGAAAAGAAAAACAGCAATGAAGAAAAACCTCTTGTTCATACCTAAATATTCATGTTTTCACTTCCTAAGGGAAATATCTTTCATATCTTTCCACTATCACATGCAAGAAAATTACTCTCAATTATCCCCAAACTATTATATCATAGGATGACATTGGCTTGTGGAAGGAGAAGAGGAAGGTTGGCATGCCTCAGTTTCCCCGTTCATAACATAGGGATAAAAATAGTATCCATCTTATAAGATCATGAAGGCCCATTTTTCCAGTAAACACCTCACTTAATATTAACTGTTAGCCAGGCGCCGGTGGCTCACGCCTATCATCCTAGCTACTCAGGAGGCTGAGATCTGAGGATTGCAGTTCAAAGCCAGTCCGGGCAGGAAAGTCCGTAAGACTCTTATCTCCAATAAACCACTAGAAAACCAAAAGTGGCGCCGTGGCTCAAGTAGTAGAGTTCCCACTTTGAGCTGAAGAATGCAAGGACAGCACCCAGGCCAGAGTTCAAGCCCCACAACCAACCAAAAAAGAAAAAAAAAAAAAAAAAAGGTGGCTCAATGGTAGAGCGCTTGCCTTGCATGCATGAGGCCCTGGGTTCAATTCCTCAGCACCACATAAGCAGAAAAAGCCGGAAGTGGCGCTGCTCAAGTGGTAGAGTGCTCACCTTGAGCTGAAGAGCTGAGGGACAGCGCCCAGGCCCAGAGTTCAAGCCCCATGACTGACCAAAAAAAAAAAAAAAAATTAACTGTTACTGCTGGGCACTGGTGATTCGAGACTATAATCCTGGCTACTCAAAAGGCTAAGATCTGAGTATGGTTGTTCAAAGCCAGCCTGAGTAGAAAAGTTGGTGAGACATTTCAATTAACCAGCAAAAAGCTGGAAGAGGAGCTGTGTGGCTCAAGTTGTGGAGTACCAGCTTTGAGTGAAAAGATAAGGTTCAGCACTCAGGGACTGAGTTCAGGTCCCAGGACCAGCACAAACACACACACACATACATACATACATATATATGTATATATACATACATCTATGTATGTGAGCTATTACTATTACAATTGTTATCCTCCAGTTGTTGGTGTTACAGATTTTATTATGATTGACACGCCTCATCACTGGCAGCTCCAGGACCCCCTCCCCCACTGGGCCTGGTGGAGGATTCAGGATTGGCCTCCCTCCACCCCACACCATCCCCCCAGCCACCCCTGGCGATTATGACGTAGGGTGACGCTGGGGAGGAGGGGGGATCTGGCCGGAAATCCCTCTTCCTGTTGCCGATAAGCTCAGTGCAGCCCTGCTGACCCTAGGCCCTCCACCCCCCACCCCCACCTCCCATGTCGCAGGATCAAATCCCCAAGACAGAAAACCAGTCTATCCAGTCCCTCACTCCACTGCCGCCAGCCCATAAAAATATCCTCCATCCCCTGACCCCCCCCCAAACACTGTTCCCCAGTCTCTTCTCCAAGCCATCCAGGCCCAGAACAACACCAGAGGAGGGGGGGGAAGAGGTGGGGGGCGTGGTCCCGCCCCGCCCCTACCCCTGCAACCTGACCCAGCCTGCGACCCCCAGCTCTGACGTCTTGGAAAATTCCCCCCCTCCTCGGGCCCCCAGGGAGGGGGTGCATGGTATGAAATGGGGCTGAGACCCCAGCCTAGGGACAGAGGAACCCGCCAGAGGTGAGCTATGAACTGGGGTCCTGGATGGATGTCTGGATGTATGGGTTAGGAAGGCCCTGGGGTAGGGGGGGCTAGGGGAATGGGGAGACTCCCATGAAACTGGAAGCCTGCACTTCTGGGTGGGAGAAAAAAGGGGGACTGGGGGAGAGGGTAAGATTCCAGGCTCCTGGGGAAAGAGAGAGAAGCCCCGACTCCTGGGGTCTGAGAGAAATCAGTGCCGGGACCCAGACTGCCAGGGTCCCAAGATGTGGCAAGCTCATTCATTGCCCTTGGCACTTTCTCTCTACCTAGGACCTTCACACCTCGCACCCATGGATCTGTGGCTTTGGGATGAGGTACCATCGCAGGAAGTTCCTCCGGGGAGCAAGCTGTCAGGACTGGGTAAGTAACCAGAGGCTGGCACAGTTGGGTGTCTGACAGGGCTGGAAGGGAGATGGCCCTGCTGACCCCTGACCCTGCCTTCATGTCCCCAGTGCCTGCAGAAGCAACCGAATTTGGCTTTTATTACCCTGACTTGGAGTTGCAAGGGAATGCACCGACGGCTGAGACATCCTGGAAAGGTAGCTGCCAGGCTGTGGGATTTCTGGGTGCTGGGATGGGGGTGAGGGCGCATGCTTGAGCCTGGAGATTGAAAGAGTCCCCGGGTACTAAGTAAATGACTCCCAGACCTTGATGGCTGATGGGGCGCGGGGTGGGGTGGGGGAGGGAATGATGGAGGAGATTCTAACTCATTACTCACACCCCCTTCCTAAAACTCAGTTGCAAAATTATCACTCTTAGGCTTCCCAGAACTGGACCGGAGTCCTGCGCTACCGCCCTCCGAAGTTCCTTGGGGAACTGGTGAGTGCGTGCCGAAAGGCGGGGGAAGAGGGAGTGGTACTCAAGGTAGCTTGGGGCTGGATCTAGGAGCTCTGGGGCCCTAGACGCCGGGGTACAAAACAGCCCCCCATGGTGGGGGACCAGGACATCTGGGTCTTACTCGTTTGGGGTTCGTCCTCCTTATAGAGACCCCCGCTCAAGCCCTTCCGTGGTCGGGAGACTGGACAGACTTGGTCTACGACGCCTGGGACCCTTGGAGCCACGCCCCTCAGGCCGCGGGCCCCACCCCTCTCTGCCATGACCACGCCCCTTCTGGCGTAGACTCGGCTGGGGGCCATGGCCCCGCCTCTGTCTTCCACGACCACGCCCCTCAGTGCATTGGGCCCGCCCTCTCCGCCGAAGGCCCCGCCCACCGCGCTGGTTCTATAGGGGGCCAGGATTGCGCCCCAACTGCTGGAGCCACCACCTCAGGGGCGCTCGAGCAGACCGCCTGGAGCGTCGCCAGCTGGGACTCTTCCGTGGACCCCAATGGTGCTACCTACTGGGACAGGGGCCTCGGCGGAGACCCCCGCGCGGACTGTACCATTTCTTGGGGTGGACCTGAGGGTTCGGACTGTAGCACTTCGTGGAATTCGGGGCTGCTGCCTACGGACTGCGGCCTCTCTTCAACGGGGTTCCAGAGTCCAGCTTTTCCCTCTGAACAGAAGCAGCGAAAGGACCGTGCCATCTTGCTTCGTTACCCCAACACGAATCACCGAGGTGGGAGGCCCGTGAAGATTGTCAAAGGGGAGCCGGGAGGAAAGCAAAGAGGAGGGGCCTAAAGCCGTCGAGGGGCGTGGCTAGACTCGAGAAGGGGGCGTGGTTCGTGAAACGCCGCGGTGGGCGGGGCCTAGGTCTCGAGCTGGAGAGGGGCGGGGCAAGAGGACGGAGGCACAAATGTTCTTCTAGGGTAGATCAAAGGGGTGGAGGACTCCTAGGTTAGGTAAGAGAGAAGAGAAGGTTCGGATGCCCATCCGAGATGGGGAGCGGGCATTTCCCAAAGCCTTAAATCCAGATGCCTAGGTGCCTAGGATGCCTGGATGCCTAGGTGTCTGAGGCTGACTCTTGCGTCTCTTATATAGAGGAATCTGAACTCGTGGATCCTCGAAGATGGGGAGATTCCTAGGTCCCCAAGTCGAAAGGATCTGGATTTATCTATAAGCCTTCGAGGGGAAGGATCCCCGACTCTTTAGGTTATCGAAGCGACGTGGTCTGGGGCTAGCAAACCTAGGTGTTCACACACCTGTCTCTGCCCCACAGGTCCCATTCAGCTGTGGCAGTTTCTCCTGGAGCTGCTTCACGACGAGGCCCGTAGCAATTGCATCCGCTGGACAGGCAACAGCCGCGAGTTCCAGCTGTGCGACCCCAAAGAGGTGGGACAGCTCCCCTGCCTGGACCTCCAAGTCCCGCCCTGACGGCTCCAACCCAGCCTAGTCCCCCGGGTTAGCTGGGCCCAACCTTTGGCCTCGCCCCAGTCTCTACTGCTCCACCCAGGTTCCAGCAAAGGGATCCTTAGGGCTTAAATTCCCTAGGCCCTGCCCCTCCACGCCCATCAAGACTAAACCCCACCCCCTCGGTCTCCGCCCTAGGTGGCTCGGCTGTGGGGTGAGCGCAAGAGGAAGCCCGGCATGAACTATGAGAAGCTGAGCCGAGGTCTGCGATACTATTACCGCCGTGACATCGTGCTCAAGAGCAGTGGGCGCAAATACACATACCGTTTTGGGGGCCGTGTGCCCGGCCTAGCCTGTCCCGATGGTGCTGGGAATGGGCAGGGAACAGAAACCCAATAATAATAAGAAAAAAAAATACTCCTCCGAACCTCGTCTTGTGTGTTTGTCTTCATCCTTTCTCTGCCTGAACCCACTGGGAAGCCAAGTGTGCTTAACCCCAAAGTTTAGGAGTTGGGCTTCCCAGCCACCAAGACCCAGCCATCTGAACCCTAATCTGTTTTCTTCCATGAGCCTGGGCCACTTATCAGTGACTTGGGGGCCCCCTGACTGCCACTTTCTTGAACCCCTTCCTTTAGTGCATAGGATACTTTTTTTTTTTAATCGGTCATGGGGTCTGAACTCTGGGCCTGGGCGCTGTCCCTCAGCTCTTCAGCTCAAGGCTAGCACTCTACCACTTGAGCCACAGCGCCACTTCCGGCTTTTTTTTCTGCTTATGTGGTGCTGAGGAATCGAACCCAGGGCCTCATGCATGCAAGGCAAGCACTCTACCACTGAGCCACTTTCCCAGTCCCTCCAGCTATTTATTTAAGTACTTAAAAGTTTAGTATCTTTATCTGGGTGCTGGTGGCTCACGCCTGTAATCCTAGCTACTGAGGAGGCTGAGATCTGAGGATCGCGGTCCAAAGCCAGCCCGGGCAGGAAAGTCCGTGAGACTCTTGTCTCCAATACACCACCAGAAAACTGGAAGTGGCACTGTGGTTCAAGTGGTAGAGATCTCGCCTTGCATGCCTGAGGCCCTGGGTTTGATTCCTCAGAACCACATAAGCAAAAAGAAAAAAGCCAGAAGTGGCGCTGTGGCTCAAGTGGTAGAGTGCTCGCCTTGAGCTGAGGGACAGCGCCCAGGCTCAGAGCTCAGCCCCATGACCGACAAAAAAAAAAAAGAAAAGTTTAGTATCTTTTAATTTTCACCTAGAACTGTTTTCAGTTCTAAAATGATGATAAAAGTGATCTTTTTTATTGTCATTATAAAAGTCATGTACCGGTCTGGGAATGTGGCTCAGTGGTAGAGCGCTAGCCTTGAGCTGAAGAGCTGAAGGACAGCGCCCAGGCCCAGAGTTCAGGCTCTACGACTGGCAAAAAAAAAAGTCATGTACAAAGGGGTTACAATTACTAAGTCAGGTAAAGAGTACACTTTTTTTGGGGGGGAGGGTTGTGGGGCTTGAACTCTGGGCCTGGGTGCTGTCCCTTCAGCTCGAGGCAAGCGCTCTACCAGTTGATCCACAGCGCCACTTCATACACTTTTTGAACAATGTTCGGCTTCAATAAAAATACTGTCTCTGAGACATTTTCCCCATGACCACTTTCCCGCCAGCCTGGGCCGCGGGAGGATTAAGAACTTTCCTAGGATAAAAACAGAAGGAGGCGCTTATGCACAGAGTCCCACGCTCAGAGCCATCCCAAGTGCCGCGCCAGCTCACGATTGGGCGGGCAGTGATGATGAGTAGACATTCAGTCCAATAGAAGCGGGGAAGTCTCTTGGAGGGGGCGTGGCCTGAGAGCCTCAGGGACCGCCTTCCTGTCCGACGCTCTAGCCGCGGGAAAGAGTAGACTCGCCTCTCCCTCCCCCCACTCTCCGCAGCCAGCTTCCGGTCGGTCTGAATTCCGCTTCCGGTCTCGTCTTTGGCGTCTTTGCGCAGGGTGACATTGAGCCGTGAGGTACCTCAGGGGTGTCGTTAGGTGAGTGTGGGGGACCCGGACCTGAGATTCCTCCCCAACCCAGCGGATGGAAGAACTACCCCAGCTTTCCCGAGGAGGGAATTAGACTTCCGGTCCGCCGGGCGGCCGCCCGCCCTGGACCCTGGGGTCCTGTCGTTCCAACCATGGTGGCAGATCATTGTGGGCGATGCATGAGTTCATTTGACCCTCCGTGCGTCCCGCTGAGGCAGGGTCTGTGATGATCCTTTCTGACCATCGGGAAACGGAGGCTTAGGAGTTAAAACCCCGGAGAGGGGGCTTTTAAAGCCCTGTCCGCAGGCATGGCCTCCCGTGGTTGGCGGGGGCACCGGCCTGCCGCTCCTCGTGTCTCCTCCCTGACCCCCCTTGAGCATCCAGCATCCCCCTCCCTCTTTTTTTTGTGCCAGACCTGGGGCTTGAACTCGAGGCCTGAGGTGACAGGCGTGAGCCACTGGGGTCTGGTTTCAGCACCCCCTTTCATTCACCTTCTCAAATACAAGGTCGAGATCTTGCACAGACTACAGCGACTGGTCTGTGTCCCAGCGGATGGCATTTTAGATTCCGCCCCACCCCATTCAGCCTCCCAAAAGACGATTCCGGTGCCCCGGGCACCCCACCTTGGGTCCCATGAATTTGACCCTGGGTAGTACCTTGGCTCTTCCAGTTCATGGGAATTAGACAGTTTCTACTAGTTCTCTGGATGGAAGCTGTGTGTCAATATCTTCAGAGACTTCAAAGGTTTTGAACCCTGGTCCTCAGGGCCTGTAAAATTCAGAGAGCTCTCTTGGGCTGGGAGAGATGGGGGTGGGGGTGGGGATGATCAAAGGGATGATAGCAGACAAGATTCATTGTAGTTATAAACTGTTGTGTTGCATGGTAACCCCTTTGTACAATTACTTAAACATGATGAAAGTATAATTTTTTTTTTAAGATTCAAGGAGCTGGAGAAAGGAGGAGTTACATCCACCATTTTACTAACCTGTCATTGAGCTCCCAGTAACTGGGGCTGCAGCAGCATCTGACTTTATCAGCAGTCAGAATCACAGATATTATCAGTTTAGATGGCTGGTGTCACAGATTACTACTTTTACTCGTGATTAGTTTAGAATTGTGGTGCTTAATATGCATGTCCTTATCTACATATAACAGTTTGGGGTTTGTTTTTTTTTTTTTCCTTGCTTTTTTTGTGTGTGTGAAGATACCAGAATTTGAACTCATGGCATGGGCACTGTCTCTTAGCTTTTTTGCTCAAGGCTGACACTCTACAACTTGAGCCATAGCTCCATTTCCAGGCACCCCCCCCCCCACTTTTTTTTGGTGGTTAATTGGAGGTTAAAGTCTCACAGGCTTTCTTGCTTGGCTTGGCTTAAAACATCAATCCTCAGGTCTCAGTCTTTTTATCTGCATAGTAGCTAAGTTTAGGGGGGTGAGCCACTGGTGCCCTGAAGTCTATGCAATTTTTATTATCTTTGAACATATTCTGAGAAAACTGTTTGTGGGTTTCGTCAGGCCCCTTAGGAATGTGTGGTACCAAAAAAGAAATTTAACCACGTGCTGGTGGCCCACACCTGTAATCCTAGCTATCAAGAGGCTGAGATCTGAAGATCGCGGTTTGAAGCTGGGCCAGGCAAGAAAGTCAGTGAAACTCTTATCTCCAGTAAACCACCAGAAAATTGGAAGTGGCACTGTGACTCAAAGTGATAGAGCTCTAGCCTTGAGCAAAAGAGCTCAGAGACAGTGTCTAGGCCCCAAGTTCAAGCCCCATGACTGACAAAAAAAAAAAAGGCAATTTAAATATCTTTGCAATGTGGAGTTTACCAATGATCAAAGCAGCCCCATCATGTTCTGGGTGACCTTGGCAAGTCACTTAGATACCCTGTCCCTCTCCCTTGTCTGAATATCAAGGATAGTCGTATTAGCCCTGCCTTTCAGACTGTAGTAGGAAGGTGCTAGAACAGCTCCTGGCATGGAGTAGTGTTTGGGGACAGGACTTGTGTATAGATTTTGTGAAGAGGGAGGAAAGCCTGGCTTGTTCCCACCTCATCCTTTCTTCTGAGCCCACACCAACACCATTTTCTTTGTTTCCAGGATTCAGCACCATGGCAGAAGACATCAAGAGCAAAATCAAGAACTATAAAACGGCCCCTTTTGACAGCCGCTTCCCTAACCAGAACCAGACTAGGAACTGCTGGCAGAACTACCTGGGTATGCAGGGCCTGGGAAGGGTGTGGTGGCAGATCTTCCCTGCCAGGGGCACTTGGCTCAGGGGAGTTGCCTCTGTTTGCTCACACACATCTCAGCCTGGCCCTGGAGAGCCCAGACCCAGGAACCAGCTGTGTTCACAAGGATTTTTCTGCCTGGGCTGGCTTCGAACCTCCATCCTCAGATCTCAGTCTCTTAAGTAGCTAGCATTACAGGTGTGAGCCACAAGTGCCCAGCTCTACCTGGCCCTTTTTTGTTTTGCCTTTTTTATGTGTGTGGTCCTATGGGGCTTGAACTTGGGTTGCAGTTTTCCGGTGGTTCATTGGAGATAATAGTCTCATGGAGAGCACTTGTGTGTGTATCTTTGTTTAATTTGTAACAAAGCCTTACAGACAGGTGCAAATAGCAAATCCTCTCTTGCAACCCAGAACTCATTTTTGAATATGAGATTTTGGTACATGTAAGAAGGAATATGATTCCTACCACAGTTGGCAACGTGGGGATTTGTTAACTCACACAGATTGGTTCTGAGATTAGTTGATGTAAAAGTTAAAGAGTCTCATGGACTTTTCTGCCTGGGTTGGCTTTGAGCCTTGATCCTCAGATCTCAGCCTCCTGAGTATCAGGGATTACCAGAACTGGATTCATTTTGCTTTTAAGACAAGTTCTCAATAACTCTGTCCAGGCCAATTAGCCATAAACTTGTGATCTGTTGCCTCCGCCTCTGAACAGCTGAGACTGAATGTTTGTGCCACCACTCCCAGCTCTTACAATTTTTTTTTAAGGGAGTGTGTGCATACATGGACCCACACCTGTGCGTGCATGTTATGTACATGCTATGTACACATTATATACACGTTATGTGCACACATGTATGTACATACTTGCAGGGAGTAAATAAAATGTACAACCAAATGAGTAATTGTGAAATGAGCCCCCTGTGCAATTGTGACCCATACAGAAAAACAGATGTTGTGGTTTGTGCCCTGTCTTTTTTTTTTTTTTTTGGTTGGTCATGGGCCTTGAACTCTGGGCCTGAGCGCTGTCCCTGGGCTCTTCAGCTCAAGGCCAGCACTCTACCACCACTTGAGCCACAGCGCCACTTCCGGTTTTCTAGTAGCTTAGAGGAGATAAGAGTTTCACAGAGTTTCCTGCCCGGGCTGGCTTTGAACCATGATCCTCAGATCTCAGCCTCCTGAGTAGCTAGGATTACAGGCGGGAGCCACCAGTGCCCGGCTTGTGCCCTATCTTTAAGCACAACACTCTCTCCTGCTCACCAACTTAAGATGACCACATTGGTATTTTACCAATAGTTAGGTTTGCCTCTTGGAAGCTTTATTTTGTGTGTGTGTGTGTGTGTGTACACGCATGTGCATGTGTCGATCCTGGGGCTGGAACTTGGGCCCTAGGCACTGTCCCTGAGCTTCTTTTTCTCAAGGCTGGTGGTCTACCACTTGAGCCACAGTTCCACTTCCATCTTTTTTTTTTTGGCTGGCTTATTGGGAATAAGAGTCTCATGGACTTGCCTAGACTGACCCCGTACTGCAATCCTCAGATCTTAGCCTCCTGAGTAGATGGGATTCCAGGGGTGAGCCACCAGCGCCTGGCCCTCACTGCATTTTGATTGAAGCTGTGTCCAGCCCTTGGTGTTCATTGACTCCCCCCCTATTCCTCCCTTCCCAGACTTTCACCGCTGTGAGAAGGCGATGACAGAGAAAGGGGGCGACGTGTCGGTGTGCCAGTGGTACCAGCGGGTGTATAAGTCCCTCTGCCCTGTATCCTGGGTAGGTGTCTTCCAGGGGAGCCCTTGGAGTGCTGGGGTGGGGACTGAGCAAGGGGAGTTGGTGGAGGCTCTTCTCCGTGGGGCAGGTTGAGGACAGTGCCCCACTGCCCATGGGCATTTCTCCATGATATGCTTGCCTCTGTCCTTCTATTCTTCACCCGGTCAGGGCCCACAGCCAAGGTGACTGGGGTCATCTTATCAGATTCATCCCGCTCATGTCGGCACATGTAGCCTGTCCAATCCTTCTCTTTAAATTTTGAATTTTGTGTGCATGAATGTATTTATCTGGGCGCTGGAAATTGAACTCAGAGTCTCAAAACTGTTGAGCTATACCCCAAGTCTTCCTGCCCATTTTTTTTTTTTTTTTGGTCAGTCATGGAGCTTGAACATTGGGCCTGGGCGCTGTCCCAGGGCTCTTCAGCTCAAGGTAAGTGCCCTACTACTTGAGCCACAGTGCCACTTCTGGTTTTTTGGTGGATGATTGGAGATTGGAGTCTCATGGACTTTCCTACCCAGGCTGGCTTTGAACTGTGATCCTCAGGTCTGAGCCTCCTGAGTAGTGAGGATTATGTCATGAACCACTGGCACCAGGCTATCCTGCCCTTTGCCTTTGCCATTTTTTTTTTTTTTTTGTCGGTCATGGGGCTTGAACTCTGGACCTGAGCCCTGTCCCTCAGCTCTTTAGCTCAAGGTTAGTGCTCTACCGCTTGTGCCACCGCACCACTTCTGGTTTTCTGGTGGTTTTTAAAATAAGAATGATTCAGTGATTAAAGTAGAATGATTCAGTGATCCCAGATTTGTCGCCTTTAGCTCACAGTTATGAAGGGTTTTTTTTTTCCTCCACATTTTCTTCATCTACTTCCATTCTTTTTCTTCTTTCTTTGCTAATGAGGCATGTCATTTTACCCTAACTACTTTGATAGACAAAAGGACACAGGAAGGCAGTCTTTGTTGGCTTTGATCTGACAAGACATTTTTAGCAATATTTAACACTTTTGCTTCTCACCTTTTTTAGTTAATCGTACTGGGAACCAAAGCCAGGACTTTATACTTGGTAGGCAGCTGGTCACACACTCTAACCAAGACCCTCCCCTGGGTGCTGTCCTTAAGGTCTTCAGCTCAAGACGAGCATTCTACCACTTGAACCACAGCGCCACTTCTGGCTTTCTGGTGGTTAATTGGACATAAAAGTCTCACGGACTTTTTCTGCCTGGGCTGGCTTTGAACCATGATCCTCAGATCTCAGCCTCCTAAGTAGCTAGGATGACAGGCGTGAGCCACTCGCACCTGGCCAGCTGAAGAATTTATATTCATCCTTACCCCCATTCCATCAAATCAGAGGACACCATGACTAATGTTGCAAGATATGTGAAACTTTTTTTTTTAGTTTTTATTGTTAAGATGATGTACAGAGGGGTTCAAGTTACATAAGTCAGGTATTGAGTATTTTTAAACAGTACCACCTTTTCCCAGAGGTTAAGTATCATCTATTCTATCACCTGATGTTTGCCTGCTTGCCATAAAATTGTGTGAGGTGCCAGTGAGCATTACAGTCATAAATCACAAATCAGACTCTGTATATGCCAATATTATTATGCTAAACTTCTTAAAAACTAATGAAATAATGGGGCTGGGAGTGTGGCTCAGTAGTATAGCGTGCTTGCCTAGCATGCATGAAGCCCTGGGTTCGAATTGAATCCTCAGTATCACATACAGAAAAGGCCAGAAGTGGTGCTCTGGCTCAAGTGGTAGAGTGCTAGCCTTGAGCACAGAAAGCTCAGGAACAATGCCCAGGCATTGAGTTCAAGCCCCAGGACTGGCCAAAAATAAATAAGTAAATAAATAAAATAATAATGAAACAAGCCATGTGCAGGTGGCTCACACCTGTAATTCTAGATCTCAGAAGGCTGAGATCTGAGGTCAGAGTTCAAAGTCAGCCCAGGCAGGGAAGTCTATGAGACTATGATCTCCAGTGAACCACACAAAAGAAGGAAATGGGGGCATAGCTCAAGTGGTAGAGTGACAGCCTTGAATAAAAAAGCTAAGGGGAGGGCTGGGAAGGTGGCTCCGTGGTAGAGTGCTTGCCTTGCATGCATGAGGCCCTGGGTTCGATCCTCAGTACCACATAAGCAAAAAAAGAAAAGAGCCGGAAGTGGCGCTGTGGCTCAAGTTGTAGAGCGCTAGCCTTGAGCTGAAGAGCTGAGGGACAGCACCCAGGCCCAGAGTTCAGGCCCCACAACCGGACCCCCCCCCAAAAAAAAAAGAAAAAAGCTAAGGGCCAGTGCCAAGGCCCTGAATTCAAACCCCAGTACCAGCACAACATGAACTCTGTTCTGAACAGATTCATGCCAAAACAGAGCTTGTTCATGGTTGTCTATTATTCCATCTCTCCTCTGTCTTGACAAATAGTGTAATGATTTGGCTGAACCACACTCTCAAAGCTGAGCCTAGCATTTCTCTTCCCATTTCTTACCTGGTAACTTAGCTCACTTAGGACCAGATGGTTTGGGGGCTTTTTTTGGAGGGAGTGTCAGTGCTGTTCCCTGGCTCCCAGCACAATGGTTGGCACAGAGCAGGCACCTGTGGTTTCTGGTTGAGCCAGTGCACCAGAGGCACCTTGAGAAGGAAAGCCCACAGCACTCTCCCTGCAGAGCAGGAAGTGACGCCCCTGTCTTCCCACAGGTCTCAGCGTGGGACGACCGCCGGGCAGAAGGCACGTTTCCTGGGAAGATCTGAACCCGATCCAGCTGTCTCTCCTTATCCTCTGGTCTTCTCGGGATGTGAGGGGAACCCGGGGACATGATAGTCCCCGCCCTGGGACTGTGTACCATTACTTAACTAATAAAACATCACGGGAAAGCACTGGCTGTGAATGAAGCCGGATGGGGGATGAGAAGCAGGGCGGGTGGGAAACTGGGTGGTAAATGGGCTCGGATGGTCATCCTCTCTGTTTGCCAGTCCTTTTCTTTCCACCCTGTTGAGTTCTGACCACCTCCTGCTAGACAGGCAGTGGGCATAGTCAATGCCTCAAATCTCTGAGGGGCTAAAACTGATCTGTCCACTTGCCCTCAGTATCTGGACCAACTTTTAACTTTACTTATGTCTAATTGTTTACTTATGTATGATTGTTTGCCACTGTTGGGGCCTGGACTCAGGATGCTGCTGGATGCTGTCCCTTAGGTTGTTTTGCTAAGAAACTGCCTCTCTTCTACTTAAGCCACAGTCCCACCAACGGCATTTTGCTGGTTCATTGGAGATAAGAGTCTCTCAGGCTTTCCTGCCCAGGCTTTGCTTCAAATCCAGTCCTCAGTTCTCAGCCTTCTGAGTAGCTAGGATGACACACACCAGCACCCAGTTTCCAAACTTCTTGTTACGACATTAATGGATAGTTTCATTCCATTGTTATCAAAGAACAATGCTATTTTTTTTCCCATTTCAGCTATTTCAATCTAATGGGAGTTACTTCACACACTAACCTAAGATCCATCTTGAAGAATATTCTGAGACCTAGTTGCTTTAGAACGTTGTTCTAGACCTTCAGTGTTGGCAGCCAGCAGGGGGTGCTGGAGGACCATGGGACGTGGTGTGCCAGAGGGAAGGAGTCATTCAGCCTGTGTCACCTGACACCCAATAAAGAAGATAGGGAAGGAGATTTATTTGTAGGTCTTGGGGCTTGACTCTGGGCCTGGGCGCTGTCCCCGAGCCTTTTCAGCTCAAGGCAAATACTCTCCCCCTTGAGCCACACAGTGCCACTTCAGTTTTCTGGTAGTTAGTTGGAAATGAATCTTACGGACTACTGCCCAGGCTGGCTTTGAACCATGATCCTCAGTGCTCAGCTTCCTGAGTATCGAGGAGTACAGGCATTAGCCACCAGCGCCCATCAGGAAAGGAGTTTTTTGTTTTTTTTTTGGTCGGTCGTGGGGCTTGAACTCTGGGCTTGGGCGCTGTCCCTCAGCTCTTCAGCTCAGGGCGAGCGCTCTACCACTTGAGCTACAGCGCCACTTCTGGCTTTTTTTTTCTTTTTGCTTATGTGGTGCTGAGGAATCGAACCCAGGGCCTCATGCATGCAAGGCCAGCGCTCTACCACTGAGCCACCTTCCCAGCCCCATAGCTTTAAATTTCCATTAGGGGGCTGGAAAGGTGGCTTAGTGGTAGAGTGCTTGCCTAGCATGCATGAAGCCCTGGGTTCCATTCTTCAGTACCACATACACAGAAAAAACCAGAAGTGAAGTGGTGTTGTGGCTCAAGTGGTAGAGTGCTAGACAGTGCCCAGACCCTGAGTTGAAGCCCCAGGCCTGGCCAAAAAAAAAAAAAAAAAAAACTCCATTGGAAATGGAAAGGATCAGGAGGATTGTAGTTCAAGGCTAGCCTAGATAAGACACCATATCAACTAGCAAGCTGGGTATGGTGGCATGTGGCTGTGATCCAGCTACCAGGACGCATAGAAAGGAGGGATGGAGGCCTAAACAGGCAAAACAAGATGAGACTCAGCCAGGTGCTGGTCAGGAGGTTGAGATCTGAGAATCACAGCTCAAAACCAGCCTGGGCAGAAAAGTCCATGAGACCACTTACCTCCAATTAACTAGCAGGAAAAAAAAAAAAAAGCAAATATGGAAATATGGCTGAAGTGGTAGATCACCAGCTAAGCAACATCATGAAGCGTTGAGTTCAAGCCCCAATACTAGCTACATACACACACACACAAAGTGAGAATGAAGAATAAAGCAAAAAGGGCTGGGGATGTGGCTCAGGTGGCAGAGCACTTAGTTGACAAGTATGAAAACCCCAAGTTCAAACACCAGCCAATGACAAGACAAAACCCAGCATTTCATCTTAAATACAAAGTATGTTAATGCTGGGGGCCACCCTAAGCCACCTTAGAGACACCAGAGTGTCCAGTGGGGCTTTCTCTGAAATCTGCAGCCAGGCTCTATCAGAACTTGGCAAACAACACTTTCCTGTTTGTGCAGATGCTGGGGCTGAGCCTCATACATGCGTGCTAGTGCTAGACAGGCGCTCCCCTGCCTGTGGGAAAGCAAACACCACTCAAACACATGAGTGGTTTTATTTGAAATGCTTTACCCTCGTTACAAGGTACTGTAGTTTAAAACTCCTGTAGACACACAGAAAAGCCCACTTACAATGAGATACAGCCAGGCAACCTGAAAGAGGTTCCCCCATCTCTTCCAGGCATCACAACAACCTTGAATTCTGGAATCTTCGAGAATCATACAATGCCTCCCCACTATTTAGCATATGCAAGCCATATGGACCTTGTATATATGCCTGTGCACACCAGTACAGTACAAGGGCTTGGACCCAAGGCCTCAAGGTCTTGCTTAGCTTTTTCTACTCAGCTGGTGCTCTACCACTTGAGCCACACCTCCACTTCCAGCTTTTTGCTGGCTCATTGGAGATAAGAATCTCATGAACTTTCCTGCCTGCAGATGACTTCAAACCCTGATCCTCAGATCTCAGCCTCCTGGGTATTTAGGATTACAGCCATGACCATTTGAATTGGGAAACAAACATGAGTCTTCTCCCCAAGCTTGGGGTTTCAAGTTCTCTTCACTTGCTCAGAACCACCTGTGGGGGACAAAGTGCAGTACAAGCTTTGGGGTTGAGACTTCCTGGAGCCCCTCTGGGACCCCCAACCTGTTTCCTCCTGCAGAATTATCCCCACACCATAGGGGGCGCTGTGGAAGGACATGGGGCTCCCCAGAGCAAGGCTCAACAGCAGCCTGGCTGGCCCCTCCCCTGGCACGGGTCCCCCGGGCCCAGGGTCCTGGGTGTGGTTACTTGTGTCACAGATAGGTACACCAAGCCATGCTGCAAAGAGGAGGCCAGACGGAGATTTGAACCCAGAACCTTTGTCAATCTGCAGCCTGGAGAAATCTCCACTCAAGACTTAGTCCTTATGTGCACACCCGTGTGTGTGTGTGTGTGTGTGTGTGTGTAGAGAAGGAAGCTATTTTTCTCCCACTTAAGTCCTTTCAATATATTGTTCCCGTCCTTTTATTTTTAGAACATTCTTCATTGTACACTTGCCAAACTCCCACGGTGCACCCATGTCCATCCTTACCTGCCCACCAACCCTGTTGCCTGCACCCCTCAGCCTGCCTTCCACTTCTCCCCTCATTTCCTCCCCACTGCCCAGACTTTTTTTTTTTTGTGCCAGTTCTGGGGCTTGAACTCAGGGTCTGGGTGCTGTCCCTGAACTTCTTTGTGCTCAAGGCTGGTGCTCTATCATTTGAGCCCACAGCTCCACTTCTGGCTTTTTGCTAGATCATTGGAGGTAAGAGTCTCACAGACTTTCCTGCTCAGGCTAACTTCACATTGCAATCCTCAGATCTCAGCCTCCTAAATTAGGATGACAGGCATGAGCCACAGGTGCCATGGCTTGCAGCCCTGTTTTTAATCTGGGAGGGGGGGAGGGGGGAGAGGGTGGCAGGCAGCCTGGGCCGCCCCGGGGCTCTTGGCCACTGCCTAAGGTCCCCAGCCTTGTTCTAGGAAGAGTTCCATGAGATGGGGTCCTCACCTCCAGCCTCACCCTCCTCCCATACCCCACAACCTGGGAAGGGGGTGTCAGAGGCCATGCTTGTAATAGCCCTGCCCAGGTGACCAGAAGATAGCCCAATCTGGAATTTCAGGTCTATAAATCACTGGAGTGGCAGAGTTGCCTCTGGGCATCTTGTCCCCTCCTCTGTCCCCCTCCTGGGGGAGCAGGGAGGGCTGGGCCTATATAGGGAGCTGCTGTGAGTGGATCTGGCCCGAGAAGATTCTGGAAGAGGTGAGGAGGGGGTTCTGGGGGCCTGCACAGGGTAGGGCCTTCAGGAGGAATGGAGGCACAGACAGGCAGCCCAGGGTTGTGGCCAGGTTTCACCAGGGTTGAAATAAAAGCAGGGCAGCTGGAGTTGGGGGGTGGGGATGGGGGAGTCCAGATGGGTATCACCCCTGTTTCTGTTGGTACACACAGGACGATGGCTTCCACAGCAGCGGAGGAGGAGAAGGGGTCCCCCGTGGTGGTGGGGCTGCTGGTCGTGGGGAACATCATTATCCTGGTAAGATGCAGCCCGTGCTGGGTGTACAGTGGGCTGAGGGTGGAGGGCTGCTCACTTGTCAGCAGGCCTGGGCTGCCCAGTTCCCAAGGCTGAACAGCCTGCTTCGAATCCCAGCTCAGACCTCCCAGCTGTGAGACTTGCAGGGGGTAACTGGGCCTCTCCTATCTAGGTTACATCCTCTTCATGTCAGTGGCTGTAGAGAGGAACTCATATTTCCCTCAACTCAGCAGTGGTGACCAAGCCAGGTTACTGGTACTCATGCCCGTAATCTTTGCAACTCAGGAGGCTGAGATCTGAGGATCTGCCATCCAGGCAGGAAAGTCAGTGAGACTCTTATCTCCAATGAACCAGCAAAAAAAAAAATGTAAAAAAGGAAGTGGAGGTGTATCTTAAGTGGTAAAACACCAGCTTTGGGCAAAAAAAAAAAAAAAAAAAAAGTGAAGGGAGAACCCCAGTACTGGCGCCAAAAAGAAAAGGAAAAGAGCCGGGCGCTGGTGACTCCGCCTGTCATCCTAGATATTGAAGAGGCTGAGATCTGAGGATCATAGTTCAAAGTCAGCTAGGCAAGAAAGTCCATGAGACGCTTTATCTCCAATGAACCACCAGAAAACCAGAAGTGGCACTGTGGCTAAAATGGTAGAGTGCTTGCCTTGATCTGAAGAGCTAAGGGACAGTGCCCAGGCCCAGAGTTCAGGCCCCACGACCAACAACAACAACAAAAGGAAAAGGAAAAAGCCATATCTTGCCATAAAACACAGGTGCCAAGGAGTCCCGAAAATCGAATCATCTGATGCTTTAG